TTATTTTTTTGGGGTGTGATAAATGCGCGGGCACTTACCAAATTAAGTGTAGGTAAAGGAGAAAACACCTATCTATATACATGTCTGGACCATAGAGGATTTCAATTCCTCCTATATATGCAGCTGAAAATGTTTAAAAACAGAAAAAGGCAACCCTTTATCGAGATCATATCATATAGTTAACTACATAACGCATATAGTTTATACAAAAGTTATAAAATAATTAAATTGAAAATGAGTAATGTGCTACAGCTAGAAAACATATATATGTAGTACTACGCTACAATATTAATGGTAAAGGTAGAAAGGGAATAAAAGTTCCACGGTTTTGAGAAGGGGTTGTTTTTGTACGCATAAAGCCTCAGCCCTCAATTGAGGTTTTAATTTTAAAACGCAGAAGTAGGTAAAAATGTGATATAAGGACCCAAACGTGCACAAAATTCTAAATTTCGGACCCAAACTTCAATTATGCTCAATTAAGGTCTCAAACTACATGAAATTCTCAAATAAGGTCCCAATTGAATAAAATATTCTCTTGATGGATGGAATATTCTCTTGCATGCAAATATCTTGGATGACAATTAACAATCCGTCACTCTCTCAGTCAATTGGATCGCCTGTGGAAAAACATAATGACTTGTCATTGCCACGTGGATGCCATGTAAATGGCACATAGATGCCACATGTGGGTCCCATTTGATTTTGAGGGAAATCAAGCTAAGGAGAATCCATGTGGCACCACGTGGCATCCATGTGGCAATGACATATCAACATGTTTCCATGTTGGCAATTTGGTTGGCTGAATAGTTAATGGCATCCAAGACATTTAATAACAAAAGAATATTTCATCCAATTGGGACTTTATTTGAGAATTTCATGTAATTTGGGACCTTAATTGAGTGCAATTGAAGTTTAGGTCCAAAATTGAGAATTTTGTACAAGTTCAGGACCTTTTTCCATATTTTTGCCGTAGAAGTATTCATCCAGCTTGCATGCAATATTGATTATTAGTGCTAGGGAAAAAGAAACAAAGCTTTTGAAGAAACTTTAACTGGAATCAAATTAAAAGGAAGAACAAAATTTTTATGCCGTTAATCGTACCTACTTCTATACATACATAAATAAAAAATTATTGGTTTATCCTCTGCAAATTAAACAAATCTTTTAACACTCGTCTAGTTTAGTTAATAAATATAATATAAGTATAAATGATTTTTATATGCAGTTTGTATGTTAACATTTTTAAGTTTATTTGTTTTTAATTTTAGATTAAAAAATAATCATTTTTTAATAAATATGTTATATAGTGAATTAAACCAAAGAGTATACTAATTAGTATTCTAAATGAATGTATCTTTCTTTGAGTTGATTTGTAATAAGAATATTGGTAAAAA